AAAATGGTATAAGAAACCTGAAGACCTGGTTTTGGAGGGAAAAACCTCTTGCATGGCTCCCTTAGAGCCACTCGGAATGAAATCCAGACTCCCAGCAGGGCCAGCCTACCTCCCTCTCTAGGCTCCTAGGCCACTCTTCTGTGGGCCTGAGATCAGTTTAAAAGTTCCTTCCTCTTAGGGCTTTCCGTGTGCCAGAACATTTCCCGTTGCTTAGAACGCACTTTTCCCTAAACCTTTATGTGGCTCCCTTCTCCTCAGCCTTGAACCTTGTTTTAAATGCTACCTCGTCACCAAGGCCTTCCCTGACCTCTCTTTCTGAAGTTGGTACCTGTATTATTCCCTCTTACCCCGACCTGATGTTTTCCCTCATGACGTCTATCATAAAGTTAAATTGTTTACTGATTGGTCTGTTTACTTGGGGTTTTTTTGCCAGTCTTTTCCACTAAACTAAAAGCTTCATGAGAGCAGGAACCATCTCCATAATGCCTGTAATCTAGCAAAGCTCCTGGCACAGAGTAAGTATTTGAGGAGTGAGTGAGTGAGCCATAGTAGAAAGTCCTGATTTTCTCAGTGGGAGAGATTTGATGAGATAAAAAGGATATAAGACTTCCCAAGTGAGGAGAGAAGTATGTGAGAGCTTAGAGGGAGGAAATACTTTTTTCAAGGTCCTGTTAACATTCTGGGCAGTGTACCAGGTGCTTTCACACACATCATATCGTTTCACTTTCCTAGTAATCCCTTTTTATAGATAATGTAAACAGAGGCTCAGAAAGCTCATATAACTGTTCCATATTGACACCTTTGGGAAGCAGGAGAGCAAACATTCCATTCACGATGCTAGCTGCAAAGCCCTATGTCAGGATCACAAACACAGGTGTTTACAGGACCAGGTGGCAATGAGGAGGTGGGTACAGTGGGGACTGGGGTGAACCAGATAGTCTGTGCTCCATCTAAAGGGGCAGCCACACCTAGCCAGCCCATGCCATAGGGAAACTTAGGCCCAGAATGGCCAGAGCTTCCAGTTTGTCAAGAGAACTGTAAATCTGATTTTTGTAGGAAATAAGATTCTATTTTTAGATGTTGGTAACCAGTTTTTAAAAATTTTAAGCTTTGGGAAATCAAACAAAAATTATCCAATGGCTGGGTTTTGCCCTCAGGTTGTTTTGCCCTCCGGTTGTTTGTTTACAGGCTCTTCTTCACAACAGAAATGATGAACCCAGCCTGGCTGGAGTAGAGAATGAGTAACATGGAGGGGAATGGCACTGTGCCAGGTCACATCCAGGTCTGCCTTTTGGGTAGAACTTAGAGAGGGACCTTGGGAAAGTAGAGTACAATTAGCTCTGCTATAATGTGACATATACGTTCCAAAAAATTCCGACACTATACAGACTTACACAATGAAAACCACAGGGCTTATGGGAAAAAATGGGGTTAGTGGTACAAGATTCAAAAACTGTCAGTGACGCATTAAAAAATGGATGTGAATTTAATAAGAACTTCAGTCTCCATATGTTAAATGGTTAAGAAATACTTAATGACTACAATAAATATGGTACTTTACCTTGAAAGAGACCTGAAGCTTGCTTGTGGGGTAGGGTGGAGGATTGCAGCTCGTCACTTATTGGGAGTGGTGCACAGAGGGTGATCTGAAATCAGAGGCAAAGCTGTGACACCAAGTGCCGTGAGCTAGATATTCCCACCCAGCTCACTTTACCTGGGCATCATTTTGTGTTTACATAGTGTTTCTATGGAAGAAATCATGTATAAGCACAAGAGTCACATTTTGCTCAAATTATACCCTAATATATCAATCACATTGGAACAAATGCACCTTTTCAAAACAAGCATTATAGAGTACTCACTGTGTAGCCAGGCTATAGAGGGCCTTAAAAGTCACAGGGAAAATAAGACATCGCTTATATTAGTACCCTCCCCCCAATTTATTATTGTTTACAAGCAGGGAGTATGACTTTGTTCCAAGTAAAGAAATCAGTTTGCCTCTTGTGTTAGTTTCCTACGGCTGCCATAAAAAGTGCCACAAACTTAGTGGCTTAAAACAACAGAAATTTATTCTCTAATAGTCCTGGAGGCCAGAAACCCAAACTCAAGGTGTTAGGTGTTGGCAGGGCCACGTTGTCTCGTAACTTCTAGGGAAGCATCCTTCCTTGCCCCTTCCTAGCTTCTGTAGTTGTCAGCAATTCTTGGCCTTCCTTGCTTGTGGCTGTATCCTCCAATCTCTGCCTCTGTTGTCACATGGCCTTATATGGGCACCAGTCTGGCTTTAGGGCCCACCCTAATCCAGTATGGCCTCATCTTAACTTAATTACATCTGCAAAGGCTCTATTTCCAAATAAGGTCACATCACAGGTCCTAGGGGTTAGGACTTAACCATCTTTCTTGAGGGAGAAACATTCTACCCACAGAACTCCTCCACAGGAGACTTCAGTGTTCACGCGTCTGGATACATCGTCTCGCTTTGATATTTCGGTCTCATTTAACAGGAGTCTACCTGATGGTGTCTGCTAGCAAGTTCTTTGTTTGCTTGATGGTCACCCTGGGGTTCCAATGGAGTATTTGGGGGATTCTTTTTTTCTGCTTACCTTTTAGTTTTTTTGTGGAAGCGATCTCTGTAAAGGGAAAATGGAGATATCTTGGGAGGGAAAGGCAGACAAAAAGAAATGTTTGTAACTAATTCGTTGAACTTGTGTGAGCCTAAATCTTTGGGCAAAGAAAGAAAAGAATAATCTGGGCTTTGGGATATGTTATATATAGCTACCAAGAGCAGCTATCCCTGTCTAGACCCAGTCACTCCTACCTCCCATCCCCTGCCCCCGTCCCATACCTGCCATGCCTCAACCAAGTGGAATAGGGAATAACATAAAAGGAAGTGACGTGGCAATTACTGTGTGTGCTCAGGTGCAGCACACATCATCTCTGAACACGCTGAGGGCGAAGGACTTACTAGCTGTGCCTTGGTTGTAGTTGGTCATTGAAGACCCCTCTCAATCACATGACTATTTCATTTAACAGGGAAAAGAGTTTAGGAAGGAAATAAGAATTGATACACATGAAAAGGAAGTCAAACATTTGACTCAGATCTCAAGGTTATGAGGGCCTTTCGAAGGCCATTTTGCTTATTACCTCCTGAGGCTGGAGTCCCTTCTGTGGCAACTGAAAGAAGTGTGTATCAAGCAGTGTGTCTACAGTCTTTCAGCTGAGCCTTGAGTAGGAAAGTTTTTAAAAAGAGAATCCTTTTTACAAGGTTTTCTATCTCGTGTTTTTCTGTTCCAGGGGACTCTGGGTGCGCCACAGGTTGTAACAATGAAAGGCACTTCCTTTTCTTCTCTGCAAATCTGTTCTTCATCCTTAAAGATCTTTGACCCTTCAGTTGGAAATGATGATTTACTGGGATTCGTGCTCAGTCATTAGCTAAAGATTTGTTCTTGTATCTTCTGTCCCCGTCTGCTGCTCTTTCTGTTCTTGCGTTTGCTGTGCCCTCACCTTGCAGCACACTTTGCCACATCTTTGCACGATTTCCTCTCTTGCTTCTTTCAGGTCTTTGCTCAACTTCACTCCCTCAGAGAGGTCTTTCTTCCTCAAGTTGCCCTCCTGCCTCCTTCCCCATGTGATGCTCTGTTTGTTTACCCTGCTTTTTAGTTTTCTCCTTGACACTTACTACTGACTGGTATTCTGTAATATTGGTGTTCATGGTCTGTTTCCCCCACTAAGTTAGCTCCATGCAGTAGGACCTTTGTTGTGCTCAAACCCCTATCCCTAGGACCAGAACAGTGCTGGACACATAGTAGACGCTCAGTAAACATGTTATGTGTTAAGTGATTGAATCTTTTCTTGACTATGTCATTTTCTTTTGAGCCAACCAGTATTGTCTGGTTTTCTGTATTGGACAGTTGGCAAAGCTGTTGTGTTAAACTCTGTGTGAGTTTGCTGTCTGAACCTTGGAATTCCATGTCACAAAGCAGCATCTATCAAGAGGTGGCACGGATGCCAGACCTGCCCCTAAATATACTATAGGGAACTGAGTTCCAGCAGAGACAAAGCACATCTCCGCTTGCACAAGGCCTAGCCACAACAGCCCCGAGAGTCTGTTTGCACCAGAGGCCCCTGCTAGTGTCCTTAGAGAGAAGATAGACAGTGCTCTAAGCTGGGTACTTGGCCTGGAAGAGAGGTAGGACAGGGACTAGAACAGCTTCAGAGAATTTCATGAGTGAGAATAAGAGATTTTAATTGTGGCTCATGCAGTAAGGCAGGGAATCTAGGAAGAGGTAGGCTCTGACAGCTGTAGCTCCCAAAAGGTTGGAGCCCCTGGAGGAATCAGAGTCAGGACCTCTCCACAGTCAGCACCCACGGCCTTCAATGCATTCTGCAGTCTTCTATCAAACTTAGCTCTTCATGTGCCCAGCCCTCTGCTGGCCCTGGGGATACAGCCCTAAATCAGGTATTGTCTCTATCCTTAAAGACCTCTGAGTCAGGGAGTGGGAGTTGTGAAGTATATGTCAGCAGGGGACTCCCTGTATTCTGTCACCCCAGGCAAGATGATTTACAGGCCCTTCCTTTGGAAATAGCCCTACTTTAAAGCACTCATTCCCAGGTTTTTGAATTTTGTTGATCAGTAGCATTTCAAAAAAGTTAGTTTTTGCCCACATTTTTTATCATGCCAGGGCAAGGATATTGTTTTTTTAAGTTAAACCTATCATCTATTATTTATTATTGTCTTCATTTCATAAAAGAAAGGGCATTTTAATTCTAAAAATAGTAGGAAATATGTCATCCTAGAATAAAAGTAGCGTTACGAAAATTGGTGTCTGAAAAGTTCACTGTTGTGTTTTATTTTTCTCATTTCACCACGGACTGGTGAAACTTCATCTTGGACCAGCATTGACTCCAGGACGGCATTGGGCAGTCACCGCTTTGAGCACCACCTGCAAGTGCACGGGTCGCACAATGCTCCGTGAGAGCAGCCTCCATGTTGTGTCTTGTAGATTGTGACAGACCAGCAGACAGGACAGAAGATCCAGATAGTTACCGCAGTGGACGCCTCTGGGTCCCCCAAGCAGCAGTTCCTCCTCACCAGCCCAGATGGAGCTGGAACTGGGAAGGTGATCCTGGCTTCCCCGGAGACCTCCAGTGCCAAACAGCTCATATTCACCACCTCGGACAACCTTGTCCCTGGCAGGATCCAGGTAAGGCCTGGAGACAGGCATTTGTTTCAGCGCTTCTGCTACTGAAGTTGTTCCTGACTCTTACCTCTGCCTTGGAGGTCAAATCTATCCCTGAAGGTCCTTTGGGCAACTGCAAACATGGCAGATTGCTCCTTTGGCTAAAGTTAAAAACCAGCAAGTGAGTGGCAGGGTCTGAAGGTGGCCAACTGCAGTGCTCAGATGGGGTGGAAGTTAAACCAGATAGAATCAGGGGCCCACAGGAGACTGGCATGGGCAAGCTGGCACTGAGGCCGCTGGAGATTTTTCTTAACAAAGGCCACATGGTGGCAGCCCTTGGCCCATATGTTAGGGACATCACCTAGGGCTGACCACAGCCAGATGAGGACCACCTTGTTTCTAACTCTTACCTTGGCCTTGTCCAGATGCTCAGGCCCAGTTCAGCTCCTCATACTGTCCTTACTTGCTCCTGTGAAATGCTGCCTATAGTTCCTGTCAGTTCTTATCTCTCCCTTTGCCCTGGTTCTCCCTACGCTGGCAGGGTGGGATGGGGTCAGGGGTGGGTACAGGAAGAAAAGAAAAGGTTTGAAGGAAAGGAGGGTTATTCCAAGCCCAACACTTAGAGGAACAGAGACTTGAGGCCAGTGGCCAAGCATGGAGCACATTTAGTGAGGGTCAAGTTGAAATCCATGTTTTTGTTTTGTTTTTAATTTTTAAGTTTTTAAAAATGTGTGGTAAAATATAACATAAAACTTACCATCTTAGTATTTTTTAGGAGTCCAGTTCAGAGGCATTTAGTATATTCACATTGTTGTGCAACTACCACCAGCATCCCTCTGCAGAACTTTTTCATCTTCCCAAACTGAAACTCTGTGCCCATTGAACACTAACTGCCCATTTCCTCTCACCCTGCAGCCCCAGCAAGCACCATTCTACTTTCTGTCTCTGTGACTTTGACTTTTCTAGGTACCTCATATAAGTGAATCACATGGTATTTGTCCTTTTGTGACTGGCTTATTTCACTAAATGTAATATCCTCAAGTTCATCCATGTAGTAGCATGTGGCACTGTTTCCCTCCTTTTTAAGACTGAATAATATTCCACTGTTTATAGAGACCATACTTGGTTTATCCATTCATCTGTTGATGGACGCTTAGGTTGCTTCTGCCTTTTGGCTACTGTGAAAAATGCTGCTAAGAATCTGTGTCGTGAGGGACTTTCTACTATGGAGAAAATTAAGGAAGGAAGGCATTTTTTTTCTTGTGACAGAGCTGTGTTCAGAACTGTACTTTTGAGCCACTCATAGTGCAGTTAGTCAGTGCTGCTCGTCTTTCCTTCCCCAGAGCACGTTCTGATCCTCAGAGATCAGAGTTCCTCCCTGCTTACTTGGACTGCTCCTCGTTGGAGAAAGGATGGCTGTTGATTTTGTTAAACGTTTTACAAAACGTCATTTTACATAATGATTTCTGTATATTTTCCCTCGATACATGAGTCATTTTAAGGCTCGTGTTTGGTACTTTATTTAATAACAGCTATTTTTTACTTTCTCATATTGATATCAGTTACGGTATTCTTCCAGTTGAGTAGCACTGTTTGGTTGCCAGAAAGTCACCTACGAATGGAGGAAAAATAGTAGGTTTTAGAAGTCACCTATTTTAGTCCTTCCACTCCAGCTGCCTCAGTGAGAGACTTAGTTATTTAATTAATAAAGCTGGATTATTTTTCTGCCAAATATACCTCTCTGTATGCTTTCAAGCTGTTTCCTGGGAATAGAGAGGCAGCTGGAAAGACCTCCAGTATCTTCTTCTTAGAGGATCTGTGTGTGATTCCCCCCATGGTCCCTGATTGTGGGTGGTTGTGGTAGCCAAATAGGAGAGTAGATCCATGAAAACCAGTGCCTGGCCCTGGACAAACCCCCCTGCTGGAGGGACAGGCCAGATGAGCAGCAGGGCCATTCTTGGTATCAGATTAAGTTGTGGGTTGGAATTTTCCCAGTCCTGCCCAGAGTTCTGCTTAGAAACCCAGGATTAGGAATTTGCTGTTAAACATTACTTTGCTTAGCAATCTGGTTTTTAATCAGCACCCTACTTGTTTCCTGATTCTTAGATCGTCACGGACTCTGCTTCTGTGGAGCGTTTGCTGGGGAAGGCCGACGTCCAGCGGCCCCAGGTGGTAGAGTACTGTGTGGTCTGTGGTGACAAAGCCTCTGGTAAGTAACCTTAGGTCTTAACTGGCTGTGCATCTTGGACCAACGTTGTGAAACAAATGAGAGGATTGCGGGGTTAATGGGGAGAGAACATTTTCTGTAGGTTTACAGGTTTCAAAACTTGAACTCCACTTTTCTTATTGGGATTGTTTTTGTTTGATATAAACAAGCAAACCAGTTTATCAGATTATTAGAATCAAAAGGAAAAGTCAAACTATTTGTGTGATTTGTAAGTACTGGTTGAGTGTCAAATATTTACGTGCTAGTAAGGGAGTAATAATTTCTTTAATCTAGTTAATATTTGCACTGTGCTTTGCTGTCTGTTCCCCCTTCGTCCTAACTGTAAGTGTCTCTGTCATCCCCTCACTATAACCTAGTGTGATAAACTGCTGTGATGGAGGAGGGAGCACATGCGTTTTTGGCTGGAGTCCCAGGGTCAGGAAAGGCCCCCCAAAGGCAGTCACATCTGTGAGCCTTGAAGGTTGAGTGTGTGCATGTCGGATAAAGCAGAAGGGCATTCCAGCTGGTGGAGCCAGGGTCCAGAGAGTTTAATGTCCATACCCATGGTGTGTTTGGGGAAGAGCTCCGTGGTTAGGATGTGGGTACAAGGAGACTAGAGAAGATGTCTGGCCCAAAAGTTCAGACTTTGGCCTGCTGACACTGGGGAGCCATAGAAGGTAAGTGTGGCAGGCTGGGAGGAATGGAGAAGTATTTGATAAAGGCACAGTTCTAGTGATGCTAGGGGCACAGACCTGAGTTCTTTGATGGCTGCACGGTTCCACTTTGTTCTGTGATTACTAAATTCACAGGAACTTTGGACACTTTGTGGTCCTGGTTTTTTTAAAAAAAGGAGGCTGGACCAAGCCTCTTAGGAAGACAGCCTCCAGGTAAGCATCTACAAAAGGTTGGAAGCTCCAGTCCCCCTCCCAGCTCATGACACTGTTTGCTTTGCCAGGATGCCCTGCCCTTGCTCCCACCCCTTGTCCTGGTAAACCCAGCCCATCCCACTCTTCTCTGAAGCCCTCGCCTGCCCCCGTCTGCAGGGGTCAGTGCTGCCTCTATCCTCATTGCCTTTTTGTACAGCCCTCTCTGCGCATTTGTTGTGTTCTCTTATAATTGAGTCTAAGGCTTGCCTTCCCCCCCAGAATGTGCTCTTTGAGGTAGATGAAGAACCATGGCTGACCCCCTCCATCTGTATATACCCATCTTCCTGCTCAGCAAGGAGAGGCACTCTGCAAACTTCTAAACAAATGACTGAAGCATGAACATAACAGAGAGGCCACAGAATCTACTTGCCTTCCTCATTTGTCAGTCCCCTTCTTAGAGGAATGGCCTTGTCACAGGCTTACAGTGCCATTGTTTCCAGACAGTAGAGGTCACTCTTAGGGCCAGAGAGCCCAAGGACATAAGGACTTACCCCACAAGGAAGGAAAATGATGTCTACACAGTAATTTTAGCACAACTATTCTTAAAGGCACAAAATTAAGACCCTCCAAGTGCACATGCTAGAGCTTAGGACAACGAGATGCTCTATAGCTGCTGTAAATAGTGATCCTGTGAAATGTGTTCTCTCAGCAACATAGCTAAGACATTGGGTTACATAAGAGCAAACCACGAAAACATCCATGGTCAGTCCCAGCTGGGAACAAATGAGATGTAACGCATGTGGAAGCAGTTTGTGAACTAGGAAGGGTAAACTGAGGCAGGGAGCTCTTTTTAATGTCATTAGTAATTAGAAGTTAGAGACACGAAACAAGATTAGAAAAAAGAGCTGTGTTTAATAAATGTATTTCTAGGACTGTGTTTCCAAAATGATCTGAGTACCTAACCCACGTGAGCCACATGGCAACCTTCCTTCACCTTGGGCCTACGCAGTCAGTTCCCAAGCTTCTTCCTCTGACCATTCTGCTTCCCCCAGAGTAGGTCTAGGGCCCAGGATATGACTCACACAGAGGAAATAAATGCAGGAGTGAGACCCTGTCTGCTAAAACAGCACGTTTGCTACCTGTTGCTCTTGGCAGGACGGAGGCGCTGAGTAGCTTCACAGTCCTAAAGGTTGTACTGAAATTATGTGAAGGACCTGGGTGCCATGCCTGATGCCCAGGCCTGTGATTGTCCCATGGCTCCCAGCATCTGACATTGCACACCAGTCACTTTGAAAGACTTGTCTTAAAAACAGGGCCTGTGACAGATCACCTCTTCTCTTGGTGAACTGCTCATGCACTCTTTCTCCTTTCAGGCCGTCATTATGGGGCTGTCAGTTGTGAAGGTTGCAAAGGTTTCTTCAAAAGGAGCGTAAGGAAAAATTTGACCTATAGCTGTCGGAGCAACCAAGACTGCATCATCAATAAACACCACCGGAACCGCTGTCAGTTTTGCCGGCTGAAAAAATGCTTAGAGATGGGCATGAAAATGGAATGTGAGTAACAGTATTAAAAAACCACGTGAGTTAACAAGAAGGGAGAAAGTGAGCGAGAATCTATTAAATAAGGTTTCAGTACCTACCTTTAAAATACTTTAAGAAAAAATTATCCACTCTGGCTCATTTTGGTTTTCCTTCTGGATCAGATAAGATGATGCAGTGCTGACGCTGCTGGGGTTGGTCAGTTCCCATGGGGCATGTGGAAACCGACTCCAGATAAATGGGGAGGCAGCACAGTGGAGTGGAGTGAACAGAGGCTTTGGAGTAAAGCTAATACCAAATAAAACTCCAGCTTTGCCACTTAGGAGCTACGAGGCCTGGGGAAGACATGCAGCGTCCTTCAGCCACAGGGTCCTCATCCGTGCAGTAGAACTCCTTACATTACTTACATTACTGGGTCTGGGTTCAACCTTTCTCTCTTTTAAAAAGGTCTTTATTTTCTTCAGTTGTTTGTGGCATCTATACCTGATCTTATATCAGAGTGTTGAGGGGAGAGGTTGCTAGGGTGATACAAAATTGACACCCATTAAACAATCGGCAAAAGCCGTGCAGGCTTGAGTTGGACATTTGTATGGTTCCTCTACAATATGTGGCTTTTGAAAAGCTCTCTGTTCGGGACCCATTTGAAGACGGATGTTTCTCATCCTGTTAGCACCAAGAAGTGGAAACTCAGAGGGCTCAGTGTGCGCCTTCCACAAGGCCATGCAAATGCCGTGCTGCAGTCTCTTAGCAGGCAGCACCCACTGTCTTGAGGTCTTTTCCAGCCTTTAGATTTGACATGACATTGTTTAGCTTTGGACCTTTCTCTGAAAAGTTCACTGTGAAAATTGAGCTAGACATATCTAGCACTAGAGCGTATCATCCCTACAGTCATAGACTTAGTAAAGAAGACCCCTTGCTTTACTATGAAGGATGTGGTTTTTATTGATTTGAATCTTTCCTCTAAACATGAATCTTTATGTTGTGATTTAAGCTGTACAAAGTGAACGGAAGCCTTTTGATGTACAACGGGAGAAACCAAGCAATTGTGCTGCTTCAACTGAGAAAATTTATATCCGGAAGGACCTGAGAAGTCCTCTGATAGCCACTCCCACGTTTGTGGCAGATAAAGATGGAGCAAGGTCAGTCCCTGTTTTGACCAAGGGCAACACTGTGGTCAGCCTCTTGGGCTGATCAGAGGAGGCATGCTCTTCCTTGGAAAGGGGGCTTCTGTAGCTCCCCACCCACCGACCACAACCTTCAGCCTTGTCTTGCTCATCCCACCCTTTTTCGAGCTGCTGCAGACACACCTTTGGATAGGTCTGAGGATGGCTGATTTAAGATGGGTCAGAATTTCTCCTATCTCAGGGGCTCAGATTATGTCCTGTAGTTTAAACATTATTCATACAGGTAAACCGTGTTCTGTAATTCAAGATTAGGGCTTCTTTGCAGTATAGACAAAGGGCTTAAATCCCAGGTGTGGTCTCAGATAGTGCCACAAGTTAATTTATGCATTCTTTTTAATGTAATCTATTGAACTTAATTTTAAAGGAACAGAAAGAGGGAAAACAAGAAATCCAAAATGTATCATAGATAGAACTGGAGTTTGAGAATGCCTTGGTGGTATTCTAAAGATCAAGTTAACTTTATTCGGCGGAGTGGCCATAGTCAGTGGGTCAGTGTCAAAGCCCTGGATGATGTGCATCTGTGTGTCAACCTGTCTCAGGCTGTAGCCCTGGCTTTGTGCAAATCTCGTTGCGGAGAGAAGGGGGGTATTCAGTCACTCGGTGACTGAGTCTAGTTAGAGCTTTTCTGCTGCTCAAACAGCTTTTCAAATGTGGAAGGGATGGAGAAATGCAGCATGATCATACTGTGCATCAAATGTTGGAAGCTACTCTGGGTTTCTTTATGTCTTAAATAGACAAACAGGTCTTCTTGATCCAGGGATGCTTGTGAACATCCAGCAGCCTTTGATACGTGAGGATGGTACGGTTCTCCTGGCCACGGACTCCAAGGTGATGTTCTTTACCTATGCCTTCTCCATCTTTATGTTGCAGTGCAGACTGCTTCTCTAAATGTGTGCGCCCACCTTCTTCCTGGTCGTCAGAGACCACATTGAAAGCGTGGCCTTCTCATTGTGACACAGCCACCTGTGATTTATTTTAGGGATGCTGATGGCTTTTCAGAAACTCAGGGCTAGCTGGTCATAGTCATTATAATATGTCAGAGTCTAGAGTTTAGTTTGGCAGAAGTTCTATGGTTCTCTTCTCTATTAAGAGTTTCTCCCCTTATACAGACACTGGCAAACTACTGGTGTGCTGAGGAAATAGATACTTATCCTAAGAGGGCCTTTTGCAGAAGCCCCTGGTTCTTTTTTATTAGATGATCTGTAAGAGGAAGTTCAGCCAGGATTCTAACAATTCTAAACGTTTGCTAGAGCAAATCAGCCACAGGGAATGTAACTTGTTGTGGTCAGAGATGTTTGTCAATCCAAGAGAGACGAGACAAGTGGCTAACTCCTCTGAAGGTAAAGAAGGAGGAGGGTTTTATGCAGGCAAGGGAATCCACTGTTTGTCTCATGTTGTTGTTCCTGATGTAACCCAAATAGTGATGAAGTAGCAACAAGCCACGACTGAGGTCCAGTTTTTCTTCTCTAAAAGGAGCAACTCAGTAACAGAGCACTGGCATTACTTAGAGCCAGAGTGAGGCCTGCAGGCTTCCTTCTCATCTGTTCACACGCACATCCATGTGCACACTCGGTACATTAAGGAGCATCCTCTTTTGGGAAAGAAAAGGCAAAAGTTAGAGCTATTGGCTAGCATAGAAAGCTGCCCTCCACCCACTGGTCCTCATGCTGGGCTTTGAGCTTCCCATCTCTGGGCAGTGATGATATGCATGGCCTGGGAATCACACCTGGCTCACTGCTGTCACCCAGCAGACATTTGGGACAGTGACTGTGTAGTGGGGTGGAAGGAAACTGTAACCCTAAAAGTAAGGCACAAATAACCTTAAAACTCCTGATTTCTAAGGGATTTTGCAGCAACTATTCTGTTGTACCGTCCATGCAGGGACTGAGAGAAAGAACGGAGGCTCCAGAGTCAGTCAGACCTGGGTTCAGAGCCCAGCACTGTTCTTGGCAGCTGTGTGCCCTGTTTTCTACACTTCAGTTTCCCTCAGTACCCATCACACAGGGGTGTTGGGAAACTTGAGTTAGTTCATTTTATAAAGCACTTGGCATACAGTGAGCACTCAATAAATGTTAACTGTTAGGAGGCAGTTATTGTCACCGGCTAGAGGAGAAGGGACCAACAGCTGCCTGGTATTTAAGCAGTAGGTAAGAGCAAGAGCTGCAGTCAGACCCAGGCTCTACCCCATTCCCTGCTCTGTAAAATGGAAGTAACAATATCCACCCAGAAGTTTGTCATGAATAATGGAATGTATGCAGAGCACCTAAAGGGAGCTATTTTCAGAAGGTGTCTTTTAAACTTTTTACCTTGAAATAATTATGCATTCAAAGTAATTTACTTTGAATGAATACAAAGCTATTATAGAGACCCCATGCACCTTTTCCCAGCTTCCCCAGTGGCTGTACCTTGCAGAACTGTAGAAGAGTATATCAAAACCAGGACACGATGTTGGTACAATGTATGGGTTCTGTTCTGGTTTTTTTTTTTTTTCCCTACTCTTCTTCATTTTCCTTCTACGTATCTTTCTATCACGATGACCCACATCTTTTCGCAGTTGCACAATAGTCTATTATATGGTTGTTCTGTGATTTATGAATCATTTCTCTGTTTATGATCTTTTCTATTGATTCTAGTTTTTCACTTTTGTAATCAAGATACAACGGATATGTGTATACATATCTTGGTTTATTTGTTTGAGTTTATCTCTGGCTTTTTTTTTAAATTGAGGTGTAATTCATATACCATAAAATTCACCCTTAGTGTACAATTCAGTGCTTTTTGTTATATTTACAAGGTTGTGGAACTATCACCACTATTTAGTTCCAGAACAAAAAGAAACCCTGAACCTGTTCAACAGTCACTGCACCTTCTCCCCACTCCCAACCTCTGCCAACCACTTAATCTACCTTCTAACTCTGGTTTTGTCAATTCTGGATATTTCATATAAAATGAATGATACAGTATGTGGCCGTTTGTGACTGACTTCATTCTCTTAGTGTAATGTTTTCAAGGTTCATCCTTTTGGCATGTATCAGTACTTCCTTCCTTCTTATTCTTGAATAATATGCCATTGAATGGCTGTACCACATTTTATTTATCCACTCATCAGCTGATGAACATTTGGGGTGTTTCTACTTTTTTTCTATTATGAATAATGCTGCTATGAACATTTGGGTACAAGTTGTGTTTTTGTTTTGTTTTGTTTGAGGAAGATTAGCCCTGAGTTAACATCTGCTGCCAATCCTCCTCTTTTTGCTGAGGAAGATTAGCCCTGAGCTAACATCTGCCACCAATCCTCCTGTTTTTGCTGAGGAAGAATGGCCCTGAGCTAACATCCGTGCCCATCTTCCTCTACTTTATATGTGGGACGCCTGCCACAGCATGGCTTGAGCAGCAGTACATAGGTCCATGCCCACGATCTCAACCAGCAAACCCCAGGCTGCCAAAGAGAACATGCAAACTTAACCACTGCACCACCACGCCAGCCCCTTGTGTACAAGTTTTTTTGTGGATATTTGTTTTTATTTCTCCTATGTATTTACCTCCCAGCCCTGGTGATATAACGGTTAAGATTCAGTGCTCTCACCGCCACGGCCCAGATTTGTTTCCTAGTCAGGGAGCCACACCACCCATCTGTCGGTTATCATACTATGACAGCTGCATGTCACTGTGATACTGAAAGCTGTGCCTCCGGTATTTCAAATACCAGCGGGGTCACCCATGGTGGACAGGTTTCACCAGAGCTTCCAGACTAAAACAGACTAGGAAGAAGGACCTGGCTACCCACTTCCGAAAAAATTGGCTGTGAAAACCCTATGAATAGCAGTCAATCATTGTCTAATGTAGTGCCAGAAGGTGAGAGGATGGCACAAAAAGACCAGGCAGGACTCCGCTCTACTGTACACAGGATCTCTAGGAGTCGGAGTTGATTCAACGGCACTAACAAATGTATATACTTAGGAGTTGCTGGTTGTATGGTATTCTATGTTTAAACTTTTGAGGAACTGCCAGACTATTTTTCATTTATTTATTTATTTGTTTGTTTGTTTGTTTGTTTTGAGGAAGACTGGCCTTGAGCTAACGTCTGTGCCCACCTTCCTCTACTTTCTATATGGGGCACCTGCCACAGCATGGCTTGACAAACAGTGTGCAGGTCTGTGGCTGGGATCCGAACCGGTGAACCCCAGGCTCCCAAAGCAGAGCGCCTGAACTTAACTGCTATGCTAGGGGGCCAGCCTCCAGACTATTTTTCAAACTACAGCATTTTACATTTCCACCAGCTGTGTATGAAGGTTCCAGTTTCTCCACATTCCCCCCATCACTTGTTATTATTTGTCTTTTTTATTATAACCATCGTAGTGGGTATGAAGTGGTGTCTCATTGGTGGTTTTAATTTGCATTTCCAGTGATGTTGAGCATCTTTTCATGTGCTTATTGGCCATTTGTATATCTTCTTTAAAGAAATGTCTATTTAAGTCCTTTGCCCAGGGGCCGGCCCCATGGCTGAGTGGTTAAGTTCCCACGCTCGGCTTTGGCCACCCGGTTTCCCACTTCAGATCCTGGCTGTGGACATGGCACCGCTCATCAGGCCATGCTGAGGCAGCATCTCACATGCCACAACTAGAAGGGCCCACAACTAAAAATATACAACTACGTACTGGAGGAATTTGAGGAGAAAAAGCAGGAAAAAAAAGATTGGCAACAGTTGTTAGCTCACGTGCAATTTGTAAATCCTTTGCCCATTTTTTAACTGGCTGGTTTGTCTTTTTATTATTTAGTTGTAAGAGTTCTTTAGATACAACCATAATCAAATAGATGATTTGTAAATATTTCCTCCCATTCTGTGTTTGTCTTTTGGCGGGGGGGGGGGGGGGTCTTTTTACTTTCTCGATAATGTCTTTTGAAGCACAAAAGTTTAAATTTTGGTGAAGTCCAGTTTATTTGTTTTTATTCTGTCATCTTATCATGTGTAGATTTGTGTAACTACCACTACAATCAAGATACAGAACTATTCCATCACCACAGAAGATCTTCATAGTGCTGCTCCGTTGTAGTCATATCTCCTTAGAAGCTGTTTTTAAACAACGTTATACCTTCATTGGCCTGAGAGTCATTTGGATGTGTGTATTCACCTTTGATGTTACTGTTTTTTGTTTAATAGGCTGAAACAAGCCAGGGAGCTCTGGGCACACTGGCAAATGTGGTAACCTCCCTTGCCAACCTAAGTGAATCCCTTAACAATGGTGACGCTTCGGAAATGCAGCCAGAGGACCAGTCTGCAAGTGAGATTACTCGGTATGAACCATGAGGGTGGAGGCTCTCCCCTCCTGACGCACACAGTGTTGCTGCATTGTGAGGGTGGGTGGCAGCATTTTGACACCCACGCTGTTTTTAATTAAGGATTATTATAAAATTGTCAACAGTGCCCCTGCATGTCGATCTTCCCTCCGAGTTTAACTATGGAAACATGGACCCACTTGTATTACATGATATAAAAGAATAAAAACTGCTTTTCATTTAAACAATGAAGAAGGAAATTCAGTAACTCAGTGGAAGCAGGGGAAAACCCTTCAGTGGACAGATGTCATTTGTATTAGTCACTGTTTATTGTACCTGAATATTAACATTTCATCCCCTTCCCCACTTCTGTTTTACCCTGTTTTTCTCACTTATATGTCTTCCAAGTAGTGAGTTTCGAGCTTGAATCCATAAAGGTAGATCGATATCAGCTGATAGATGGCATTACCTGGTCCCAGACCTCTATATAACTGGCTGCTAAGGATTTCTTCTCTGCAGCTTGGCTCTTGTGTTTGCTCCTTTGCTGTGGGACCAGCCACTCGTGCCCGTCTTGCCAGGCCTGGCAGGGGCACAGCCTGGGGCTTCAGCAGCGTGCTGGTCCTCTTGTTCACTTGCAGTCCGAGCAAAATTAAGATCTAGATCCCATGGAAAGAGGATGAGATTTGAGTTCAGTAGAATTCTGGTTCCATCACTTACTGAGAGAGTGGTCTTGGAAAAGTTATTTAACATCTCTAAGCTTCAGCTTTCACATCTATAAAATGGAGAAAATTGTACCCTGGAGAGTAGTTGTGAAAAGTAGAAATTACCTGTGAAAATAAGTAATACATAGCCTAGTGCCCAAGATGGTGTATAGACAATACATAGACACTTTCAATATCACTTCTCTCAGCAGGTAGAATTTAATTATCTTCTCCCCCGGTGCATTGTTTTTCTAATTTATGTCTCAGCTTGAATTCTGTTCCCCTTAAAAGCTGTGGATTCACAACACTTGCTTGCTTCGTTTTTGCTCACAGGGCATTTGATACCTTAGCTAAAGCACTTAATACCACAGACAGCTCCTCGCCTCCAAGCCTGGCAGATGGGATAGACACCAGTGGAGGAGGGGGCATCCACGTCATCAGCAGAGACCAGTCCACACCCATCATTGAGGTCGAAGGCCCCCTCCTTTCAGATACTCACGTCACATTTAAGGTGAGGACATTTAGCCTAACTACATGCCCCCAACCTCCCTGGCCAGCTAGGAGAGGGGCTCTTCACCAAAGCTGGTCTCAGTTTAAAAATCAAACCTTGGAGTGAGCTCTTTTCATATTGTGGTGTTGGATCAGGATCTTTTATTTCAGAACAGTAGCTCAGAGTACTAACTGGCTCTGAAGGTAACCCTGAAGCAGGCATGGCCTGTCCTTGCCATGATGGGCTGACTTGGTGCTAACCAGAGAGAGCTGATAGCTGACTGTTCTGCCGTCTGCCTTCCAGTGGCAGCCTGGCTCCAGCACAGGGTCAGGGCTTTATCTGCTCCAGCAAGAAGGCACCCAAACCTTATTCCCAGCCATTGGTTCTGACCACTTCTCCTCTAGAACCATAGAAAATAGACTGAGATGTCCTTGAAGAGTGCTGTAAGGTCCTCCTAAGTCTTTCCCGCACTCTCCTACAGACACTCCCAGGTACCCTGAAGCCCTCTTGGTCTCCAGGTCTCCAGTCTGAGTCTTCCTATGCCCCCAGGATTCTTTCTTTTTTTTTTAAGCTGAGGAAGAGTCATCAGTCTTCTTCTATTTTTTAGTATGTGGGCTGCCAACACAGCATGGCTGCTAACAGAGTGGTGTAGGTCCGCGCCCATGAACCGAACCTGGGACACTGAAGCATAGCATGCTGAACTTAACCACCAGGCCATCAGGGCTGGCCCTAGGATTCTTTACTAGAGAGAGATGGCCAATCACTTAGGTAGATTGGGTTCCTGCTCATAGTTGCCAAGGGTGCAAAGCATACAAGTCACCAGTGGGATTCTAGCTTCAAAGGCATCAGAGTCCCTTCTAGACAATGGAGCTCCTAGAGCCCCGATACAACATTCTGGTGGTGGGATATCATCCTCCTACCATCTGGGCTTCTGCTCAGCTCTCATTCACTGTTACCTTGAGGTCACCTGTCAAATGCCTGCTAGCCCATTTAGTTGACCCTTGTTCCCTGATGTAATTGAGACTTTAACGTATGGCTCAAAATGTAATTGCCTTAGAAGAAATAATGATTTAGTTGAGGCAAGAGTTGAAAGTGTGTCTTTGTATGGGTATACTGGGAGGTCCATCATTGACCACATTCCAAGGGCCATCAGACCCTAGTTCACTGGGCAAGAAACCACAGGGAGTTGATGCTAGCCCCCTGCTTCAGAGGTCACATACTTGATAAGGATGGCCTGCTCAGGAGCTTCACCACCAGAGACAGTGACTCTGACGGCCACGATTGTCGAAACACAGCAGGGATTCATGTTGACAAACAAAGCCATCCTCTGTTCCTCGGTCACCTCTTGTGCTGTATGCCTCCTTTTTTCCAGCTCACGATGCCCAGCCCAATGCCAGAGTACCTCAATGTGCACTACATCTGTGAGTCTGCATCCCGCCTGCTTTTCCTCTCCATGCACTGGGCCAGGTCAATTCCGGCCTTTCAGGCACTTGGGTAAGTAGCCTTTTTCTCTACATATCCTTGGGCAAGAGCATTCCTCTCTGTAGAAATGGCCTGGAAGATCTCTGAGGGCCTTTCCAGTTTGTTCCTATGACCTGATTTTCTTATTAAATACAATCAGTAGACTCATGGTAGCAGGGGACCATGATTGCCAATGCTGCAATGTTCCTCAGACCTTTATTGAGCCTTCTGCACGTGCTGAGGACTCAGTGCTGGGAGCCAGGGACGGAGTGGAACAGAAGGCAGGAGTCATCCTTGAGATAAGTAGAGGGATGCTGCATCTGGGGACTTCTGAGACAAAGAAGGACTTACTGTTTTGCAGTGCCCCCACCATGCTGTCCTGAGTATAAATGACCTGAGGCAGGGCTGAAAGTGACTTGGCTGGCCCCTTCCTCCCTGCTACTCGCCCAAGGTTTGCAGGCCCTCAGTTCTCAAGCATAGGTGTAGGGTGTGTCTCCTTCCTTCAGAGTCCACACTCAGTTCTTAGTCCTTTGATCACTGCAGCTCTCAGGACAGAGCCACACCAGGACTGCTGCGGATTTAAAGGCTGCAGGAAATGACAGTTTAGTCATGCCTGTTAAATTTCTCATTACTTAAGTCTAAAGAATGTTTTTTAAGAGAAAGATAGTTTATTCTCAGAGGGACTTTAAGAAATTCATAAATAGTTGTGTTCTTGGGGAATGATCCTGAACATATCATAGCCCTTCAACAAACTCTTGCTGAATCCACTTGTTTGGAACATGCTGGGGCTTGGAGAAGTGCCAGCCCGCACCCACGCCCATCCTCACCTCTGTGTCCCCAGGCAGGACTGCAACACCAGCCTGGTGCGGGCCTGCTGGAATGAGCTCTTCACCCTCGGCCTGGCCCAGTGTGCCCAGGTCATGAGTCTCTCCACCATCCTGGCGGCCATCGTCAACCACCTGCAGAACAGCATCCAGGAAGGTAGGGCGAGGATGTGAGGGAGTATGTCTTGGTCTAGGCTGGCTCATCACAAATTGGCTAGCCTCCGTGTCTCACAACATCCATAGGCTGAGGGAAGTTTAACTTTTAAGTCAGGGGAGGTTTACCAGTCAGAACATTTGAATTTCTGCCTGACAGCCTTCTTTTCGTATAATGAATATGAAAGGAAAAAAAAAGATAATTGAAAAAAGTTACCAACTTCCTTGATACACAAGCATTCAGTCATGTTTTCGGGATAATCACAGCTTATATTTTCACCTTCGTTGACAGATTACCCTTTCATCTGTAATATCTCACAAATCCTCACCACGCCATCAAGTAGAGACTATGATCTCAGTGTTACATGTGGGGAAACTGAGGTCCCAGTAAGGTCCCTGGCTTGCCCCAAATGAAACAACAGGTAGAAGAGCTGGGGCACCAGCCTGGTCATGCCTATCCCCTAGTCCAGGACACAGTTCCACCCAGCTCTTCGTGAATGAACAAGTGACTCTTCTAATAAGATCTGTGGCAACCATCTAACCATCTAACATTTGGTGCTTAAATCCCAGCCATATGAGGACCAAGAAATGGCCGGTGCAGCCTCTCCCCACGCAGCATGTCCACCCACACTGAAGACACTGTCTGGAGGGAGCGCACCCAGGACTCCAGACTAACACCCAAAATCTACACTTGCAGCTGAATTGGAACTGAGCTGCACTTTTAATTGGGCATTCCAGGTGTCTGATGTCTAGGGATGTATTACCTAGTCACACCTTTGTTTTTGCAATTATTCCTTTGAAATAGTTAAATAAAGGTGATTTTTAAAACCCTATAACATTTTATTGCATTTAAGTTATATTTGTTCACAGATGAGCTTTAGTTTTCTTTATTTTTAATTGAGTATAATTATACTAATACCTTCAGCAAAATAGTCATGAGGATTAAATAAGATAACATACAAAATTGTTTTAACAGCTAAAAAATGCCAACATTTAATGTTCAGCTTGGCAAATATTTATTAAATGCCTACAGAGACTTAGAAAACCTAACCATTGATAGAACTGATGAGTGGGTCTTAAGCACAGAATAAAAAGAATTACCAGTCTGCACCTACAAGCCGAAGCTGCTGCCCAGGGTGGGAGCAGGAGGAATCACCGGTCCAGGGGTTTGTTGTTAAGGCAGAATATATAATGGAGCAGAATTTGGGTACCTATTGTCACTTCACTTTCAACTGGAAAATGAGGCTCTTGACCATCTTGAGATAACTGGTTTTTCATGACAAAGTGAAATTATTGAGGCCAACCCAGTGGCATAGCGGTTAAGTTCGCATGCTCTGCTTCAGCGACCCAGGGTTCCCCGCTTCAGATCCTGGGCACAAACCTAGGCACTGCTTATCAAGCTTTGTTGTGGCAGGCATCCCACATATAAAGTAGAGGAAGATGGGCACAACTGTTAGCTCAGGGCCAGTCTTCCTCAGCAAAAAGAGGAGGATTGGCAGCAGATGTTAGGTCAGGGCTAATCTTCCACCAAAAAAAAAAAGTGAAATTATTCTCTCATTTCTTTCAATCTGTGGCCCCTCGAAGAAGCTTGTGTTATTGTTCTTATCAGCCATCAGTCTTTCTCAGAGGATCTGTGATGTTGATTTCTAGATAAACTTTCTGGCGACCGGATAAAGCAAGTCATGGAGCACATCTGGAAGCTTCAAGAGTTCTGTAACAGTATGGCGAAGCTGGATATAGACGGCTATGAGTATGCATACCTTAAAGCTATAGTTCTCTTTAGCCCCGGTAAGATATGCGGTGGTGACTCATGACAGTTTTCCACCTGTGTCTACTGATATTTCTGAGTATGAACACGTTGTCAAGTCATCAGCAGTGTAGAGCAAGCCCTGCCAGATTGTATGTGACCAAACGTTCTTAGAATAGGTGTGCTTTGCCAGCTGACATAAATACACACTTTCTTTTAAATCCTTGCCTTTACAGTCCCAGAGAAATATGCTGTAGAGCCTCGTGACTTCATTTGCAGAATAGATTTAACCTGTATCCAAATTAAACCATTGGCCAGACAAGATGCGGCATACAAATAGAGTATACCACCATCCAGGGTCCTGTTTCTGTTTTGTTTTGCTCTTTGCCGATTTTCAGTACAGTAATCCAGTACAGGCAGCAACTCCACAGGTTTACCCACTGTCTCTGTAGGGCAGTAATAGCAGCTGCTGCAGGTGTGGTCTCAGCAGATGAAGAAAAGGCTGCAGGACATTGGTGGAAGGTAAAAGATGACCTGGCTGCCTCACCCACTCCCCGCAGCTGTTCTCGGAGCCTCCAGAGAGCTTGCTTGGGCCGACTTTTGTCCTCAACAGCTGGAGTTGGACACAGCCTTACCAGTTTCCCCTCCTCCCTAGCCCTCTGTTCATGAACAACAAAATAGCTAATAAAAATGGGAGAGGGTCCGGCCCGGTGGCGCAGCAGTTAAGTTCACACGTTCCGCTTCTTGGCAGCCCGGGGTTCACCGGTTTGGATCCCGGGTGTGGACATGGCACCGCTTGGCAAAAGCCATGCTGTGGTAGGCGTCCCACGTATAAAGTGGAGGAAGATGGGCACGGATGTTAGCTCAGGGCCAGTCTTCCTTAGCAAAAAGAGGAGGATTGGTAGCAGATGTTAGCTCAGGGCTAATCTTCCTCAAAAAAAGGGGGGGGGGGAGAAATTAAGTGATTAAATATCTAGAAAGTAAATGATAATTTCTAATCTCATGTGATAGTTTGAATCTCTGTTTTCTCAAGTAGTAGGAAACCAGGTGTCCAGATCCACCCAGGTGGGGCTGCTGAGGCTGGTGTGACCACTCAGGAGCCCGGCCCCATCTTTGGAACCTGCAGGCCTTGGCAGAGCACAAAGCAGAAACCAGTGTTTTAACAATAATATCCAAACCAGATCAGCTTTCAGAGTTCAATCTGTTGTACTTGAGAAATTAGCCAGAAGTTTGACTAAAACTAAGTACTAAGATGTCTGCAAGTGAGGCTTTTCAAATACAGAGGGCAATTTGGGGGCGCTTTTCTCTTTTCAGATCATCCGGGTTTGACTAGCACAAGCCAGATTGAAAAATTCCAAGAAAAGGCACAGATGGAGCTCCAGGACTATGTTCAGAAAACCTACTCAGAAGACACCTACCGGTGAGTACACAGACGCACGTGCTTGCTGGGGCAGGAAGCTGGATCTGTAGTTGCAAGTAGAAAGTGTGTTAGCCTTCTCATTTCCAGCAGCCTGGTAGAGCCTCCATTTAACCACACTTTAATTCTTGCATTTTGTAGGTGGTAATGGAGTGTGGAAAGTGCTAGGCAGGAGGGTCAGTGTTGCTGGGCAGACTGTGAGCGAGACCATGGGTTGCTTTTCTTTGAGGGGTTGTAGCCGATGCTGTGTGGTCTCCTCCGGGGCTAACATTGTGCATGAGGCGTGAATTCTGGTGGAGATTCCTCTCGTCCAGAATGGAAGCTCTGCCCCTCTGCTCTGCATCCACTGAAGAGGCAGGGCTAGAGGACTTGACAGACAAGTTTTCATGGACAGAAACCAAATCTGCCCCCTATAAAGGAGTCAGATAGACAGGTATGAGCCTTTCTCATGCAGATTTGAACAGGAAAGTTGTTCTGAAATAGGGCAGAATGCCTGGCAGGCTTTTCAGCCGAGGAGTAGAAGAGCTCTTTCCTCATGACCACTTCTGACCCACTGGAAGCTACATGAATTTCTGGGGTCCTGTCAAGCAAATTATTTAATATTTCCCTCCCCACCCTGTCCCCTCAAAATAAACACTGGCACGAAATTGACCAGGAAGATGCATGGCCCTGCTTTCCCCAACTTGTCTCCCCAGCGCAGACCTCAGTCCACAGGTGCCCCACGGAATGGGGATGCCCTAAGCCCACACCATTTCTCTGGGGTGACTGGGGGGCCTGTGGCTGGCACTGCTGGCAGAGAGCCTGCCTCTGCATTAGGCACACCTCCATGGCCCAAATGTAGCTTTTGTCAAAGCAGGATGCATTTTCTCTTGGAATCACTGAAGACCTCACGTGACTTAGAGTAACTTCAGCCTCAGTACATATAGAATGGGACTGTCAAGTAATGTACGCACACCCAGAGCCCACACATCCAGCCAGGCTTGCGGGCACGCTGTCCCTTGAGGGGCCATGGGCCTACTTCCACACAGTGCCTCTGGCCACAAGAGGCTGGAAATGCCTCTCTGGGGGCTGTTGGCAGAGCCACAGCACACTAGAGTCAACCTTGACAACAGCAATTCTCTGGCCTTTGAAAGTAGATGTTTCTGAAAAATTCCTGAGTCACTCCTGGTCCACTCAGGAATCCCAGAGAAGAGGAGGGCAAGCCAGGTGATTTGGGGCCAAAAACGAGATTAAGGAGGCTTTCTTATGGAACTCAAAACTCCCTCAAAGACACTTCCCAAAGAAAAGGCCCTAGAATGGTTTGTTTATGGCCTGATTATACATTTTTTCAGTCTTTCCCATTTTTATGCCTTTTCTCATACTGTTTGTATTTCAACCCTCCCATTCCTTGCATCTCAGCTGATAGAAACCTTAGCCAGCCTCTAAGATGCAGCTGACGTGTCCCATGCTCCAGGAAGTCCTCTCTCATCTACCCTTGCTGACTTCCTGAGACCCGTCAGCCTGTCAGCCCCTCCAGCTCTGCAGTGGTGTCCCCTTACACCTTTGTGGGTCTTGTCTGCCTGCCTGTACTGAGGCAGGCAGAACTCACAAGGGCTGGGCAAATGGATGATGGTGCTGGAATACTGCTTGCATAATATGAATATATTTTCCCTCTTCAAAAATAACAATGTTCACTGTAGAAAAAAAATTAGAACATTCTGGAAAGCAAAAAGAAAACTTTTAATACTGCTGTCCAGAGATACTTGTGAACATTTTATGTATTTACTTCCAGAAATTTTTTATGTATGTGTAACTGGAATCATCATATAATACAAAGAAAGGTTTTGTAATCTTTTTTTCATTTAATATTCAAAGAACATACATATTCTTCTTCATCATTTTCCATGCTAAGGAGATGCCATAATTTCTTTAATTTCCCTACTGATGAGAATGTCAGTTGTTTCCAGACTGGGCTGGCGCCACAGTGGGCCACCCTTGCTCACACACTTTCTGCACTGGTGTGGAATGGCCAGTCACACGGGATGCTTCAGGTACAGTGTCCAGTGGCTCACCAGGACAGGGTCATGGTGTGCCCTTCCACCCAGGGGTTTTTCAAAACAAAAACAATTTTATTTATTTTTAATTATAACGCTAAATGAACACTGGAAATTAGAGCAATACAGAAAGAGTTTTAATAGGTAAAATCACTCCAAATCCCAATACCCAGAGGCCAACCATTAGCATTCTGGTGAACATCCTTCCAAACGCTGTATTTCCACATGTACACACAAATAAATATACACACGTGATATCGTGCTATACTTGGTGCTTCACAACCTCTAAGTTTTTATTCAGCTATATGTCGTGGACTTCTTTCTGTCCTTACCAGTGAATGTAGGTGTTTATCATCCTTTTTGATAAGTATGGAGTGATCCATTATATGGAGACACCATACTTTATTTTAACCTATCCTCTATTGATTTCCAAAAAATTTTTTTTTGGTGGGGGTGGGGAGAGTTGTTATAAACAATGAAGGGAGCATATTTTTACATACATCTTTGCACTCACTTGTTTGACATTTTTCTCATGATAAAATCCTACAGGAGGAACTGCTGAAATCAGAAAAACAAGGGCTGGATAGTGGGTCTGTGTGTTTGGTTGAGTTCCCAGCAGTGCAGACAGGGCCCCGGGAGCCTCTCCGGGGCGAAGTCTGACGGGCAGTGAGCCCCTCTTTCTCTAATGACCCTCCCTCTTACAGATTGGCCCGGATTCTCGTCCGCCTGCCTGCGCTCAGGCTGATGAGCTCCAACATAACAGAAGAACTTTTTTTTACTGGTCTCATTGGCAATGTTTCGATAGACAGCATAATCCCCTACATCCTCAAGATGGAGACGGCAGAATATAATGGCCAGATCACTGGAACCAGTCTATAGTGTACACCACACACCTGTCAAGGAGCAAAGGATCCCCCCAGGACCGCTCACATACAGAGAAAATAAAGTAGTGGTATTTTGGTATGTGCAAATATTTCCAGTATGTTAGCCATTTCCTACCTGGTTTCTTCTTACCTGTTAATCCCAGACAATAGCAACTAAAAGACTAGTAGGATCGTTTCCTGCCATAAGAAATGTTTTAATGCCTTTTGATGAAGCAGATTTTGGAACAATCTTTTAATGCAGTTTGTATTTAGAAATTCTCAAAGGGCAAAAAACAAAGTTTTATAATGTCAGAGAGTAGTATTAAAGAAAACTAAAAGAACCTAAGAGAACAGTATGTGTGTATATATATTAAAAATGTCCTTGGAATTAATAGCTACTAATTACCAGGGTAATAATATTAGCACTTTCTAAGCACTTCTTATCAATGCGTAATGTTAGCAACATCTTGCCTGTGGGCAGGGCAAATGGAAAACTGTCTTATGTCTTTTGCCGAAATGCTAATGATTTCTGTGAAAACGCACTAGGGTACAGGAGACAATCATTTATGTTTAAGAAAAGAAGGCATCATTCCTAATTGTATGCACACAATGGTGGCGTTGAGCTAAATTCCTATGAACAAATGAAATGTGGCCTGTCTGCATCGCAGGGAGGGGAGCGTGGCAGCACAGTCAGTGGTGACCCAAACCAGAAGCTTCTCGGCCGTAGAGTTGATGCTTGTCAGCTTCCCTGACTTCTGGCCCTGGTCTCTGAGGGGCATCTGCAGGCGCCTCTAAACCTGGGGCTCTCTTCTGATGCCTAGTTCTTGGAATTGGATTGCAAGCAGTCAGACATTAACAGCCAGTTCCTGCAGCAACTGAAAACATCCCCATACCACCTCCACTACTCATGGCACATGGAGCCTTCTGACCAAAAAATGCGAGGTGGGCATTTTGAACCCCTGGCAGTACTTCCTGAATACAGTCTGGGGTGGTTGCACTTTGTTCAGATGGAGGAGTGTGGCCTCCTTGGAGTGCGAGGGTTCCCTTCTCAACGGAATTTCCATTCCAAATGCCCCCTTGAGAAGGGCCTGTATTCCTGCAGTTCAGTCAGAACTGTGCAGTGAGGTGGAGTGGGGCATGCAGGATCTTGTTGCCTGGCCAGGGTGGTGGTAGTGAAGCTGAATGGAAGGTTTCTCTGTTGACCTTAAATATCAGGGTTCTTCAGAATGTCTCCAGACTCAGCATCTCTGCTGGCTGAGCCTTTTCATGGTGCTGGCACACCGTGCACTTTGATTCCCCTAGGTGTGTGCCAGCAAACCACCCCTGGAGCATTTTAGATGATGGATGCAGAAGCAGGCCACCTGCTCCATAAAAAACAACCATAATTGCCAAAGTCATCTTCTTTCTCCTTAAAAGTTATAGAGACCAACATTTACGAGAACAGAATGCAGTTATAAGGAAGTTATATCTAGAGAAGAGCACCTCTGAATTCCCCTGGATGTGAGTAAGCATTTCCTCTTTGGGAACAGTGGCATGTCCAAGCCTGGGCCAGGTACTTTGTATTTTCTTTTTGTATAGCCCAGATTAAGAAAATACAGTGTAAAGTTAAATTTGCAAGATGATATCCAAAAAGATCCGGTGCACTCCGCTGCCTCGGAGGTGCTCCCTGGTCCATCTTGGCCCCCAGTCAAGGTGGGTGCCCAGCCAGCCGGCCACAGGCTTATGGCAAAACGGGGTACTTGATTCTGAAATAAGTGTTAGCACTTTATGAAAGTCATTAGTGGGACTTAAGTGGCGACAGTATCTCCAACTTCTAAATTTCTGTTTGGATTTAGTTATATCATTTATAATTCATGCCTTGGAAGCAAATTTTGAAGAATACTGGGGGTCCCCAATATAAAATGATGGAAAGGATTAATTTTGCCAGCTTAAATTTTTTGGTTTTCTAACTTTGAAGTGATTTAAATTTCAAAATTAACACCAAAAACTGGCCAAGACAATGGAGTTAGGGTGAGTCTGTTTCCTTTCTGCATGATTTCAGCAGAGGGCACTGTGGAGCAGATTTATGCGTCTTACACAGTGAGTTGTCTGTTTCTCAGTTCTCTTGATTTTTGAATGTAAGCACGTCTGTTGATCGCGTAGCAGTTCCCTGGGAGTACATGTTGTGTCGCATCTTTCAGATCTGAGTTCTCAGTGTTCATGAAAAGGTCCATACTGACTAGCTCCCCTCATTTCCAGGGGCAGGCCCTGCCAAGTCCATTGTCCATTAGGCTTCTAGACTCAGGTTTCCTTAAGATATTGGGACAGCTTAGCCAAGACCTTGAGGTCCTGACGACGCCACTGTTTAGATATGTTAGGAAGAGAAAGTGATAACCAGCAGGAAGAGAGTGAACACTTGGATGAGGAACTGCCACACTCCTGGAGAAAAATCGATTTAGCTTGGAAAGTCGCTGACTCTAACCTGGTCCTGCCCCAAGTCCCTTCACTGGTGATGGTTGATTCCAGTGGACCATTTTGGGCATTGAACATGCCTCATTAGTTTCCCAGATCCTCTTGAACTTATTTTGAAGTCATCTTTTCCTTAAGAATCATGTCCACACAACCTGAATTCTTACTGCCCCAAATCATTTCAAGTCTTTGGCAGCAGGTCCGTTCCATCTCTTGTCAAATTGCTTAAGAGAAGTAAGCCCAAAGTCAGGAATTATTTAAAGGGATCCCAAACAAATATTTGGGTTCAACTTTCACAAGGCTTTTAACAAACATTGTTAGGAATTTGTGAAACTCTAGATTTAGTGAAGTGAGGCCAGCCCTCTGCCCAGTGAATCCTTGAGTGAAATAAGCCAGGAGCAGGATTCTTTGCCATGTAGCCTATTCACACGCCCCTTCCGCTGCCATAGCCACTCCCCCCTCAGTGAGGAGAGAGGTATGCTGGCTAAGGGAGGTGGAGACAGACACACACACCATTACTTCTTGATGAAGTGGGCTCTTTTCCAGCAGTATCTCACATAATGTTGGACAGTTATATGTTGAAGTTTGTGGAGCTCATTACATATAATCATAAAACAGGACAGGAGCAGACTTAGAAAAAGACCAAATTACTCAAGCAAATAATACTTTCCAAGTTATTCTTGGAAGGTACTTCTAAAGAAGTATGTTACCACCTTTCTAACTTGAGATTTGTGTGTGGTGTGTATTGGGGAGTTACATTATTTATTGTCTAAACTCTACCATGAGGCTGTTTGGGGTTCCTTTGTTGTTTGGGGTTTGTATTTAATTTCAGGTGTGGTCACTTGTTGTGAGATGTTATGTAATTGCCCTCAGGAGGGATTGTTTTCTAGCTTATCAGTGTCAGTATTAAATGTGGACTCTGTTGAGAGGCAGTTCCCACCAGCCGTGGCGATAGCGATGGCCGTGTCGACTCCGGCTCCCAATATGGCAGCACACTCACTAGAGCACGGGGTGGAGCAACATACTTACCTGGCTGTTGGGCTTGTTTCGGGGAGAGCCGCTGCAGGGAGCCAAGAATTAGAAAGGCTCTAGCTGTATCTCGTGCTTTGATTCTGGAAAAAGCCCACATCCTAATCCTTTGGGGTAATTTCCAGCAGAGCAGTCTCGCTCCCAGCCTGCCGTCTGCCTGCCTAGCAGCCCTTGCTGTGGATCCCACTTCCAGGACCTGATCATATTAGGGTCCACAAGCTTGTCGCCCACTTTGCAGTGGAAATGCCCTATGCACAATGGGGCTGTAGATGACAGTCCAACTCTTCTCTAGGCCCAGGTCCTGAAAAGTGTCATCTTCTGACATTCACTTTTATCCTGGGAGCACAGTGCCCTTTCGTCCCTAGAAAGGACTGAGCAGGCCGGGCGGATGCTCCACTTTCTTCCTCTGTCCCACTTCCATTCTCTAGATTGTGCGGCTCTTTGAAAATGTCTTAATTCTGATGTAAATTTGTAAAACCAACCCCCAATTGAGACAGTGGGTTTGGGTCTTTTGTACCCAGGGTTCTGGACCTCCTCATGTGTGTGCCTCCTGCCAGCGTGCACTTCATGCATCCAGCCTGGGGTCCCTTCAGTGGATTTGTGCGTGTACAGATTTATAGGCTTGTATGACTGAATGAATGTACATGTGTTTATACCTTCTCTATCTGTACAGTGTATATAGTGTGTGTATGTGTACATAGATGTATATTATGTATACAGACATGTAGCCACATAGCCAAACTTTCCTCATGTTTTAAAGAGAGTCTATGACAGAGTTGCTAAAGTAAATTGATGTGGATGTTCCAAGGTCCCTCAGCAGGATGCATTTGCTGAGATTTTAACTCCATTTTCCTTTGGGTGAGCCTGGCTGGGAAAGGCCATGAAGTCAGAATCTCCACTCTGCACCAGGGAAGGTTCCAGACAGAAGTCTAGGAAGCAGAAATACAGTTCATCCTTATGTCTAAAACTAGGTGGCGATCTTTAACCTGGTTTCACACACCTATTTATGGCTTAACTGGACGGAACTGGTACAGCCATCAGCCTTCCCAAATACTCACTCTTTCATGTGGTCCAGAGATGGGCATCGTGGTGAGAGATGCGGAATGGTCCCTGTCATGGGGCCTGACTCCCAGTGTGGTGGCAGTTTCCCACGCTTGCTCTGGACTCAGTCACTAAACAGTGGGCACTGCCCTGTGACTAAATAGAGATTCCCATCTCTCTAACACCAGTTGGAAAAAAAACCTACCAAGTATTCTTTAAAAATGAGCATGAATGTTGATGGCTAACTTTTATGCCATGTAAAAGTTACAAATCTTAAATTATTTCTCAAACTATAGCATGTGAATAAAATCCACTGACTTAAATCCTTTCTGTAAATTATGATTTAAAAATTTCAGATAAAGATTGCATTTTAGTACAGATATGTGTGCCCTTAAAGCTACAGATGCCAAATTTTCCTTGTCCAGGTCTATTCTGATGAATTTCCCCCCTTAATCGGGCTGTAAACAGGCAGGGCACTCAGGAGCCAGGGCCCAGCCCTGCAGTAGTTGCTCACGGACCTGGTAAGCAGGCGCCTGCCAGGCAGGAAGGTTAAAAGCTGGCCTGCTAAACGAAATCACTGGATAACTGCAAAAACTCACATAATCCACAAGTTGCTTTTTTTAAAAAAACATAAGCTATTGAAATGTTTGAGAACACTTCATTGAGACCGCAGTACTCAGTGCCTTTCATTAGACGGTGGGTCACTTAGCCTTCAGCTTCCCTTATTTTTGATGTAAAGAAAGCTCCTGCTACTTCTTTGGCCTAATCCAGCAGTGATTGTTGAACCTTTCCCACATCCTTGCCTGTCATGACAATCACATTATTGAAGGTGACTTCCCAGTTAAAATACAAGTGGAAGCTTGACGGTCTCTTAATGAATCTTTAAATGAAAATTTTTCTTTGGGGCTACTTATCTTAACAGCAGTCTAAGAATAATTAATTAAACTGAGCTTAAAAATGTATCAGTGGGGGTGGGATATTTTTAATGCTCAGCTATACTTTCAGTTGAGAAGCCAGTAATTTTGGTTTCTCAATATTTATACATACAACATAGAAAAAAACGCTAGAAAAAATAAATGCTGGAAAAAACTGCTCAGCAGCATTTGGCAGTTGACAGACTGTGATAAAGCTTAATAATTGGATAACTCTTGGAAGTAGTAGGCTTTACATTAAAAATGGCTTTTCTTTAGGAAGTATAATCATTTTAACGACCAGAGCATTCATGGACTCAAATGCTGCTGCCACATACAACTCAAGTGCTGGAATATTTTTCTACAGTCTCCGTTCTCCCAATTATCTTGTAAACCAGTGTTCAACTAGTTTTATAACTGAAAAGCTGCACATTTTTCATAGTACAAACCATGGTTTTTACCTGTAGTTTGGACCTCTCTGTTAAAATGTAGCTGCATTACCAGCCCTTTTAAAAGACATGTTAAAGGAAAATTCAGGTGTTAGATTTTCTTGGGACCGTTTCTGTAACCTCTCCCCTTCACAATATAGAAAATACTGTTTATGCCATTACATTTTAATTCCAGGTTTAAAACCTGCGGAAAGCTATAGCTTGAAGTCAGCTTTGTTTATGTGATGGCATTTAAAAATAGCATGTTCTTTTTAAACTGAATTTTACATCTAATCAATGTCTTCAGTCTTGAAGAAGAATTTGCATTGTTGTGTTTGTATATAGAGTATTGCAGTGCATGAATTAGCTTTATGCATTTTATTAAATGCTGTTTCAATGTGGCATTATTGTTGTGGCTTAATACTACTACCTAAATGAGGTTTATACTATTAAAAGTGAATTAAAGACTAATAATGTGCATCCTGCTCATCATTTCTCCTCCTAATAGTAATAACACCACCTGACCCCCAGAGGCACTCAGAATGCTCTCACTGGAACCCCGTGTCAATGGTGAGGAAGCACCCTGAGACTCAGAACTCTGCGTTTCTCACCTCACCTCACCTCACTTCAGCCTCGGCCAGAAATGACTTCGCCCTTCATGGGCTATTTCATGATCCCCTGGACTTGTACACCTTCAGTGCGAAAGGTGTGGAAGCCAAAAAGCCAGAGACGTTGCTAGAGCAGAGCACAGCTTGGGCTGCCAGACCACAGTGAGTGCCGTCACACTCAGAGCCAGGCCTCAAACCAGCAGATTCATCCTGTAAGGGTGTTTGCTCTCCAGGGTGAACATGTGTTAAGTTTCACAAGTTGGAAAGAAGTACGCTCCTCATGTCCTCTGACTTCTCCTTTTACAGGTGAGGATTCTGAGGTCCAAAGTCAGATTCTTGGCAGAACCCACTGGCAGGCAAAAAGCTTTAGCTGGCTCTGCCAGGTAGTACTCAAAACGAAAAGAAAATTGATCACTTCAGAACAAGGTTAAAAACCATCTCGTGAACACTGCTTGTGCAAATAAAATTAAGAAACAGTGTGTCACTTATAAAATCCTCATAGCAATTTTCTCTACTAATTTTCTCCCATTTCTGTAAATTTTAAACCCATCTATCAATCACTATTAAAGTAGGAAATGGGAGACAAAGGTTTGAAGAGATAATAATGCCCCCTAGTGGTGTTTATTTCCATGACTCGTTATCTGCTGCCTAAGAAACTGTCCACACAAACAGTAACCGCGGCGCTGTCCCGTGAGGCACTGCACATTTAGTCTCTCTCTAAAAAGGGGGCATTACTTTGGTTCAGGGCGAGCCTTCTGTTTCGCAGCCTTTTTTGGGCCCCCTGTGGGCCATGGAGAGAAGGAATGCTTCCATAAGGCTTTCTGTCTCACTAGCTGTGGAGACAGACCGGAAGGAACGAACTCACTGAAAAGCCCTGGCAGCCGGTGTGAAGGCTGTGGCTGCAGTCAGTCAGCCGGGTGTGGTCATTAGAAACACCAGGAACTGAAATCAGCACCCACGGGCAGGAGTAGAACGGAGGATAGATTTCTCTACCCACCCCTCCAAAACGGTGACGGGGGAGAGGGCGCCACGGTATTGAATTTCAATTCGACACAACCCTAGTAAGCCTGCGATCATTCAAGGAGCACCTGCCCGTTACACGTTAGACCCACACGCCCACCTTGCCCTCCCAACCCCCGCAAGCCATCACCCTGAACAGGTCCATAACTTGAGCATCAAAATTGTCCCGATTTGATGAGATAACCTGCAACATTCATATAAAACATTCTAGTTTCACGTCATTTCCCGCGGCTAACGCCCTCACGGGGCAGGGACTGCCTTTACTCCCACTTTACAAACAGCGTTAGGCCTTGGCCAGTGTTCTGGTCAGCAGGGGAGCTTGGACCTCAAGCCTGCTCTTCTAAGCCCCGCTGTTTTGCCATGTCCCGTAAGGCAAGGTCTCCTTGAGTGTTTCCATGCGTCTGTGGTCCAGCTGGCCCTTCACTTTCTGACCAAGTAAACCTATTCTTCTGGTGACCCTAGAGGGCTCTGGTGTCCCCTGAGGGCTGAAACCAGCATAACTAAAGCGACAGCAATGTCAGTGTCCTGTGAGGAAAGAACTCCCCCGCAGGCCTGCAGTAACGCCTCCCCCTCTTCCAAGCCTCCAGCACCAACCCTCAGGGCAGTTCCTGCAAACCTGCCTGCTAATGGGCAGGGGGCTGGGGCCACAGGGCTGGCAGTGGCTGACTCACCAGTGGGCACATTCCTGAGGTGGGTCTGCCAGCCAGCCACCAGGGGCCTCCTGCCTCTCTGGCACACCCACGGCCAGGCCCCTCAGGAGGAAAGGGTCGGTGGGCTTTAAGTTAAAAGGTGAACACTGCACAAAGGCTTGCCCTGGGGTTTCTGAAAAATACCCAAAGAGCCTGAATGGAGGGGACCATCCACACAGATGGCCCCAGCCAGACGGCCACAGCAGCTCCTAATTCTCCAGAGCAGGGTCTGGAAGAAGAGCCGAAGCTGATGGAGACCAGGAAAGGGCCGCAGGACCAAGACAGGGATGTCAACAGGCTGCGGCCTTACTCTTCCGCATCCCAAAGCCCTCTCCCCATGCAGGCCTTCCTGCTTGTGCCTATCAGACCCCACACACCACACTGCTGGAGACAGAAGCATTTTATTGACCTGCTGCAGGAGGGATATTCATTCAGTGGCTCAACTGCAGATACTCCTTCCCCTCCCCCACGTCCTTGCACACAGGTGTGTGACGGGGATCCTTTTATTGCAAAAAGCTCTTCAGAGTCTCTCCAGGGACAGGACCAAGGCTTCCCTGTGGCCAAGGTAGCCCCAGCCCCTAGTGGCCTAAGGCCTTAGTCCTGGGCACCAGCTCTGAGAGTTGCTTTGTACTTTCCCGTCATCTCCTTGGGTAAAGGCACCAGGCCCGGGCAGGGTACCTGCCCTTCCACCTCACAGATGCATTCCCGTAAGCAGTACTTTCGGGGGCCAAAGTGCGCTGGGTGAGAAAGCTGCTTTTTCTCTTGCTCCTCTTTCTTGAGGGTTTCTCTGCCAAAAAGCACAGACAAGAAGGCATAAGGAACATTGCTCTGAGCCTCTGGGAAGCACGGGACTTAGCGAGTGAACCCCCGCATCAGCCAGGGAGAGCTGCATCTCCGCCTCCTAACCTGCTCCTCACTGCCAAAGCCTAGCCCTTCCCTCCCCACAGGCCTCCCAGAGGAGGGAGGAGGCACAGCAGGAAGGCCTGCATGTGAGCAGTGTCAGGCCCCGTGGGGGAAGGTCACTCGCCACAGGCCCACACAGCAGCGGTCAGCCTTCCGACAGCCGAGAGGCCGACAACCAGGATACAGGGGCCTGGAAAGACACTGGCCTGCTTTCGCAAAGACAGACTTTCTTGGCTTCCCTCCCTTTCCTCCTTTCATCCATGGAAAGAAAAAGGACGTGTCACAGCAGGTCCCAGGAAGAGACACCCAGCAGCTCCAAGCTGAGATTCCCAAGGACAGAGGTGGTCAGAGCCATCCAGGGCAAGCATTTCAGCAGCATCTCAGCTTCCTTTAACCCCAGGAGGGACGGACATCTTCATCCCCACTTCACAGCAAGGAAGGTACAGCTCACACAGGCTCAGTGACTTACTGTCACCTATCTGTGCGCAGCAAAGCCAGATGGAACAGACTTTATAGCCACGCTCTCCGGCTGGTGTCCGTGGCTTGCTGTCAGGGAGTCTGCCCTCTCAACACCCCTCCCAATGCACCCCTTCTCTCAAATTCTCTAGGCTGTTTGCTCCCTTCCAAGTCAATCCCAGCAACTCACTCATTCTTCCCCAAGACTTTTTTGATGTGCTCCATGATCTCCTTATTGCTCTTGGTCTCCACATCCACAAGGACCTGCTCCCCAGAATCTGGAAACAGGAAGCAAAGGGGAGAAGAAAAGCTGAAACTCGGCAGTGTGCTCCTCAGCCTCAAATGGTGGTGATTTGGGATTTGCTTTTAGTGGAGAAACTTTAACAATAAAATAAATATGCTTGTTTATATAACTCATAATGCCACCCTTCCTTTTTTCCATATTTCTTTAGACACAAGCAGACAAATCTTAAGTATGTACAAAAGCGTACTATTTTAATGGAAAGAAATTCCACATTCATGGATAGGGAGATTCAGTATCATTTAAGATGGCAGTTCTTCCCCAAACTGGTCTATAGATTCAGTGCAATCCCTATCAAAGTCCTAGCAGGTGTTTTTGTAGAAACAGACACGTTGGGCCTAAAATTCATGCAGAAAACCAAAAATAGCCAAAACAATTTTGAACAACAAGAAAATGGGAGGATGTTCACTTTCCAATTTCAAATTTACTATAAGCTACAGTAATCAAGACAGTGTGGTACTACCAAAAGAACAGACCATAGAATAATGGAACAGAACTGAGTCCAGAATAAACACTCATATGTATGGCCAATGGATTTTCAGCAAAGATGCCAAGACAATTCAATGAGGAAAAAATAGTTTTGCCACAAATGGTGCTGGGATAACCGGATATCCACATGTAAATAAATGAATTTAGACCTTTACCTCGCCAAATTAAAAAAAAAAAAGGAGGGGGAGCTCAAAAGGGATCAGAGACCTAAATGTAAGAGCTAAAACTTTCAGAAGAGAACAGAGAAAATCTTCATAACCTTACCTAAGCAAAGATTTTAAGATATGACATCAAAAACATGATCCATAAAAGAAAAATTTGATAAATTGAAATTCATCAAAATTCAAAACTTTTGTGCTTCAAAAGACACCAAAAGCCACAGACTGGAAGAAAATATTCATAATGCATATATCTGATACAGGATTTGTACCCTGACTATATAAAGAACTCTCACAATAAGATAATCCAATGAAAAAATAGGCAAAATATCTGAATAAACATTTAACAACCACCACCAAAAAAGGCTAATAATAAGCACATGAAAAGATACTTAATATCACTAGTCATTAAGAAAATGCAAATTAAAACCACAATGAGATACCAGAGTGGCTAAATTCCTTTTAAATGGACAATATTAAGTGCTAGTGAGGATGCAAAGTAACTGGAACTCTCCTGCATTACTGGTAAAATGCAAAATATTGCAGCCACTTTAGCCAGTGAATAAAGACACACACACACAAGGGAAAGAAAGAAAAAGATTGGGAAGGAAGAAGTAAAACTTCCTGTTTGCAGATGGAATGATTATGTGAGTGAATTTAGCAAGGTTGCAAGACACAAGGCCTACTACAAAAATCAGCTGTACTTCTAAAAAATGAAATTTTTTAAAATACCATGTACAATAGTCATAAAAGATACTCAATATTGTTCAAATGTCCATTCTCCTCAAAATGATCGATAACATAATTCCAATCAAAATCCCAGCAAGTTTTCTAGAAACTGGCAAGCAGATTTTAAAGTTAACATGGAAATACAGAGAACCTACAATAGCCAAAGTAATTTGGGGGGGGAAAAAGACAAAGTTAGATTTATACCTCCTGATCTTAAGACTTAAAAAAACCAAGACATTGTGGTGATATTAGTATAAGGAAAGACAGTGAAAGGGGTGAAGAGTTCAGAAATATTGGTCAAGTGACTTTTTTGTGTATGGTAAAATAAAACGTAAAATTCACACTTTTAACTTCTATTTTGTATTTTTTTAGGTAAGAACTTGGAGTTTAAGCTTTATTTCTGTTGATCAAACCTTCCTTTTGTTATTCTTTTATTGAGGTCATAAAGTTTATAACATTGTGAAATTTCAGGTGTACATTATTATTTGTTGGTCACCATGGGTATCCCCCAGCCCCCTTCCCCTCTGGTAACCACTAATCTGATCTCTTTCTCCATGTGATTGTTTACCTTCCATATCTGAGTGAAATCATACAGGGTTTGTCTTTCTCTGTCTGGCTTATTTCGCTTAGCATAATACCCCCAAGGTCCATCCATGTTGTTGCAAAGGGGACAATTTTGTCTTTTTTATGGCTGAGGAGTATTCCATTGTATATACCACATCTTCTCTATCCATTCATTGCTCGATAGGCACTTGGGTTGCTTCCACGTCTTGGCTATTGTGAATAACGCTGCAATGAACATAGGGGTGACTAAGTCTCTTTGAATTGTTGATTTCAAGCTCTTTGGATAAATACCCAGTAGTGGGATAGCTAGGTCGTACGGTATTTCTATTTTTAATTTTTTGAGAAATCTCCATACTGTTCTCCATAGTGGCTGCACCAGTTTGCGTTCCCACCAGCAGTGTACGAGAGTTCCCTTTTCTCCACATCCTCTCCAACATTTATTTTTTGTGCTCTTAACATTAGCCATTCTGATGGGTGTGAGGTAATAGCTCAGTGTAGTTTTGATTTGCGTGTCCCTGCTGATTAGCAATGTTGAACACCTCATGTGCCTACTGGCCATCTGTATGTCTTCTCTGGAAAAATGTCTGTTCAGATCCTCTGCCCAGTTTTTGATTGGGTTGTTTGTTTTCTTGTTGTTGAGTTGTGTGAGTTCTTTTATGTATTCTGGAGATTAACCCTTTGTCAGATATATGATTTGTAAATATTTTCTCTCAGTTGGTGGGCTGTCTTTTCTTCTGTTCCTGGTTGCCATTGCCTTGCAGAAGCTCTTTAGTCTGAGGAAGTCCCGTTTGTTTATTTTTTCTTTTGTTTCCCTTGCCCAAGTAGACATGGTATTCAAAAAGATCCTTCCAAGACCAATGTCAAAGAGGCTACTGCCTATATTTTCTTCTAGGAGTTACATGGTTTCACATTTTATGTTCAAGTCTTTAATCCATTTTAAGTTTTCTGTATGGCAAAAGATAGTGGTCTACTTTCATTCTTTTACATGTAGCTGTCCAGTTTTCCCAGCACCATTTATTGAACAGACTTCCCTTTCTCCATTTTTGTTGAAGATTACCGTCCATAGATGTGTGGTTTATTTCTGGGCTTTCAATTCTCTTCCATTGATCTGGATGTCTCTTTCTGTACCAGTACCATGCTGTTTTGATTACTGTGGCTTTGTAGTATAGTTTGAAGTCAGGCATTGTGATGCCCTCGGCTTTGTTCTTTTTACTCAGATTGCTTTGGGTATTCAGGGTCTTTTGTTGCCCCACATGAATGAATCTTTGTTCTGTTTCCGTGAAGAATGTCACTGGGATTCTGACTGGGATTGCATTGAATCTGTAGATTGCTTTAGGTAGTATGGACATTTTAACTATGTTTATTCTTCCACTCCACGTGCATGGAATATCTTTCCATTTCTTTATGTCATCATCAATTTCTTTCAACTGTGTCTTATAGTTTTCATTGTATAGGTCTTTCACCTCCTTAGTTAAATTTATTCCTAGATATTTTATTCTTTTTGTTGCTATTCGAAATGGGATTGTATTCTTGAATTCTGTTAGTTCGTTATTATAGAAATGTCACTGATTTTTGTAAGTTGATTTTGTACCCTGCAACTTTGCTGTAGTTGTTGATTATTTCCAGTAGTCTTCCGATGGGTTCTTTAGGGTTTTCTATACATAAAATCATGTTGTCTGCAAACAGCAAGAGTTTCACTTCTTCATTGCCAATTTGGATACCCTTTATTTCTTTTTCTTGCCTAACTGCTCTGGCCAAAACCTCCAGTACTATGTTGAATAACAGTGATGAGAATGGGCACCCTTGTCTCGTTCCTGTTCTCAGAGGGATGGCTTTCAGTGTTTCCCCGTGGACTACGATGATGGCTGTGGGTTTGTCATATATGGCCCTTATTATGTTAAGGTATTTTCTGTCTATACCCATTTTATTGAGGGTTTTTATGATAAATGGATGTTGGATCTTGTCAAATGCTTTCTCTGCATCTAGGGAGATGATCATGTGGTTTTTATTCATTTTGTGAATGTGATGTAGCACACTGATTGATTTGCTGATGTTGAACCATCCCTGCATCCCTGTTATAAATCCCACTAGATCATGGTGTTTGATCCTTTTAATGTATTGCTGTATTTCGTTTGCCAATATTTTGTTGAGGAATTTTGCATCTATGGTCATCAGCGATATTGGCCTGTAATTTTCCTTCTTTTGTTGTCCTTGTCTGGCTTTGGTCTCAGGGTGATGTTGGCCTCATAAAATGTGTTAGGAAGTATTCCGTCCTTTTTGACTTTTTGGAATAATTTGAGGATAGGTATTAAATCTTGGAATGTTTGGTTGCATTGTCCAGAGAAGCCATCTGGTCCTGGACTTTTATTTTTGGGGAGGTTTTCAATTACTGTTTCCATCTCTTTACTTGTGACTGGTCTGTTCAGATTCTCTATTTTTTCTTGATTCAGTTTTGGAAAGTTGTATGAGTCTAAGAACTTATCCATTTCTTCTAGATTGTCCAGTTTGTTGACATATAGTTTTTCATAGTATTCTCTTGTAATCCTTTGTATTTCTGTGATATCCATTGTAATTTCTCCTCTTCTATTTCTAATTTTACTTATTTAAGCCTCTTTTTTTCTTAGTGAGTCTGGCTAAGGGCTTGTCAGTTTTGTTTATCTTCTCAAAGAACCAGCTCTTTGTTTCATTGATCCTTTCTACTGAGGTTTTCATTTTTGTTTCTTTTTTGATTTTTTGTCTCTAGTTCATTTATTTCTGCGATAATTTTTAATATTTTCCTCCTTCTGACTTTGGGCTTGCTTTGTTCTTCTTTTTCTAGTTCTTTTAGGTGTAGTTTAAGATTGCTTATTTGAGATTTTTCTCGTTTTGTTAAGGTGGGCCTGTATTGCTATGCATTTCCCTCTTAGGACTGCTTTTGCTGCATCCCATATGAGTTGGTATGCTGTATTTTAATTTTCATTTGTCTCCAGATTTTTTTTATGTCTCCTTTAATTTCTTCATTGACTATTCAGTAGCATATTTAGTCTCCACATATTTG